ACAGACAGGATTGGGCCCACGGGCCACAGTTTGCCATGACCTACAATACTGCCGGGAACACAGCGTCAGCTGTGCGGGAATGTGTGTGAGGCCACGAGCGTGTATGTCTACGCGTGTACACACGTGTGCACATGCATGTGTACGTGTGAAGCCTGCATCTGAGGACGTGTCTGTGGGAGGTGGGATCTGTGTAGCGAGCGCTGCCAAACAAAGCAAAACGCTTGGGCCGGCCAACATTTTAATGCAGCTACCCCAGGACTTCCCACTTCCATTCCGGGGAGAGAGGGAAGCATCGGAAAGAGCCACTGTGTCCCTGTCATTTTCATCTGGGTTAGGACTGTGGGAAGCCACTGCTGGTGGCTGGGCTCCTGCAGGGCGGGTGGCCCACGCCCTCCCATCTGCAAAAGGAGGGTGAAGTCAGCCCTCTGGGGGGAGGGAGGCGGGGAGCGCATGCTGTAAAACTGAAAAAGGAAGCTTTTCAGGGGCTTTGGAGGAGGCGCTGGGGGTGGAGGGAGAAAGCTCTCCCCCCTCCTGCAGTGGGCGGCTTTTCCAGGCAACTTGTAAACATCTGCCTGCTGGTTTCGTTTTGATCTCCCGGCTGCGGGACTCCTGAGGGGCTACTTCCTGTATGACTAACTTCCTTGGCCGCCTTTGCAAGGGCCTGGAATGCAGGGAGCATTAGTTATGGAGTCAGCAGATGTGGGTTCAAATCCCTGCTTGTAACTAACTTGTCAAATCCCTGTCCTAACTAAACTGCCTTGGGGCATATGGCCTCATCCCACCGAGCCTCAATTCTTCTTCTGTAAAATGGGGCTGGTATTAGCACCAGCTCCTAGGGCTGTTGCAATGATCAACGGAGAATCGCCTGTGTCCGGCATCTGGCGCGGAGCTTTGCGCTCAGCGAGCACTTTACAAGGCGACACCCTGAAACGGACATCCATGGGCTGGCGTGCTGGGCTTCAAGATTTCGGGGAAGCCTCCCCTTATCCCCTAGGCTGCGCTCGGTCCCTTTGATTTACAGTGTCATAGAAACTGGTTTCTTTCCTCCGAAGCGTTTACCTGTGTTAGCTATTTAGCACTCGCTGGCATGCTTATGTGACAGGCGGCTGTCTCCTCCAGCAGACCATGAGCGGTAGGCAAACGAGATGATGTCTGTTTTGCTAATCGCTCTCTCCCCAGTGCCAGCACAGGGCCCAGCACAGGGTTGGCACTCAGTGATTATTTACTGGCACCCAGTGGAGTCTTCCAAAATGGAGTTATGACAGGAGCTCTCTTTAGCGTTCTGCCGTATTGGTCAGGTTAGGCTGGGCTTTGCCTCAGTAACAAAAAACCTCAACATTTTGTTTCAGGGGCCTAACATCACAAAAGCTTATCTTTGACTCGTGCAAATACCAGTATGAGTTGGACAACCCTTGTGGGCCACTGTTCTCTTTGCAGTGACTCAGTTCCATCTTGTGATGGCACCGTCTTAACACGTGATTTCATTGCCCCTGCGGGACGGTGCACACGTCCCTCTGCTCCCTAGCCGGCATTCAGAACAAGTCCCCTGGCCCTGCCTCGCCGCGGGCGGCTGGGAGGCGGAGCGTTGCTCCCGGACATGCAGCAGGCGGAAGAGTCCCTGCCACGCCTGGGGAGGGCTCAGACTCCATGGCTGGTCTGAGGTGACAGGGAGTCCAAGTGTGCTTTCAAGACTCGCAAAGTGGGGATGCATACTAATTAGACGGCTTTTTGCAAACCAGATTTTTTATCAGAGAAAAAATAATCATCACAAATCCTTTGCTTAAAATACGGAGCAGCGTTTCCAGCCTGCAGTTCCTCGCCACGCAAGATCCGGAAGGTTTCCCGTCTCCAAACGCCGCGGCCATTTGTCTCCGTGGCTGAAATATGTTTTAATGGTTTCATTTTGATAAGAAGTGATAGCTGCCCATCAGAGGCAGAGCTCCTAAATTCGAGGAGACCAGTGATTGAATAAACCATGAAGATAAAAATCTTTTTAGAGATAAGGTCCTTAAAAGCTTTTAGCCTGGCATGCAGTGGGGCTCCTAGGTTTTCTTCCTGGCTTTATTGGAAGAATGCCTTGATGGACTATAATTTTTTTTAAAAGAGCCAACTCAGGGTCACTACCACCAAAGATGAGTGAGAGAGAGAGAGATTGAAACAATGCGGGCAAAACCGTTGAATGTTCGTGAAAAGAGCCGGCATTCTGTGAAGACAGGCTGTATCTGACCTGTGATCTCTCCACGCTGCAAGACCAAAAGAACCCGGGCACCCTCCCTCTGAATGTGGAAGCTTTTCTTTGCTGTGAAGTTTCAGGATGACTCTGATGCTTTTCTAAAAAAAATGTTTCCTTCTTGGATTGGAAAAAGGGGGAACTGCCAATGGCATTAAACCCTACGCCTGCTTAGCAGTGATATTTTGCCTCTTGTCTCTTAGCTAAAGAGCTCTATCCTGGAATTTTATTTCGCCACCACCACTATCACCCCATCACCTGTCTGTCTCTGCCATGAAGCGAAACCTCATACACACCAGCTGATAATTCCACAACACCTGGTGGCCAGATCCCAAGTATCCCACTGGAAGGTTCCAGAAGGGCCGTCTGACCTAAATCGGTTGACAACCCTGGCCGCACTCTGAAATCTTCAGGGAGGTCTGCACCCTCAGAAGGTCTGATCTCACTGGCCCAGGATGGGGTCCCAAGCACAGATGTTTTTACAAAGCCCCTCTCATATCATTGTAGAATCAGAATTGAATTCTACAATGATAGCCTAAGCTACAAATTCTAGCCTAAGCTTTCTGCCCAGAACTCAAGCAATGAAAATCAAACCGGGGGGAAATCTCACAGGAAGATGACACACTTTAGAAGCAAGAACAAGATACGGGGGTGGTTGATCCTCTCACTGGATCTTCTCCCTCTGGGGACAAGTACAACAAACATTCACCACTGCAGACTCATTCACAGTCCTGCAGGGAGGCAAGGCCGGTGGCAGGGAGACACTGGGCAGACGTGCCTCAGGGTGACCCCCTCTTAAGAAATGGATTCGCTCTCCTGTGGTTCCAAAGATGCTGGTGCACTGCTCCTAAGCGAACTCAGCTAACGTCTGGATAACACTTCTCAGTTTCACATGCATCACTCTTTGAGTCTCCCAATGAACCTATAAAAAAAAGGGATTATCACTCTCATTTTGCAAATGAAGGGACTGATGCCCAGGCAATTTAACTGACTTGCTCAAAAGAATATACCCAGTGAATTGAGCTGTGGAGCGGTGACTTCAGTCCTTGTTAGGGAGCATTTACTATATCCTAAGACTTAGACAAGTATAGATTATACAATTATGGAATGATAAGTTCCCTCATTACTTCTCACTTCTTTGACACAATCTTTGGCTATTTGTTTCCAGTATTTCTGTGGCAGACATTTATTTACCCACTAATACCCATTTTTTTCTTCGTGTTTTGCTCAGGGTTGCTGTATGCCATGTGCCAGGCTCTGTTTCCCAGCTTCCCTTGCAGCTAAAAGTGGTCATGTGACATCACTCTGGCCAATCAGATGTGAGAGGAATTCTACTGAGTTCCCTAATGCACTCTCTCTTTTCTCTTCTTTAAACAAAGCCGCAATGCCTGGAACTATATCAGCCTTTGTGGGATCTTGCCATGCCAAACATGAAGATAAAAGCACAAGTACCTGGAATGGCAGAGCAGAAAGATGCCTGGGGCCTGATTCACCCCAGTCTGCTGGTTGCCTACTTCTGGGCTTCTCGATGCATGAGAAAAACAAGCCCCTATTTGTTTAAGTTGCTATAGACTAGGTTTGCATAAAGTGTGGCCAAATGTATTCCTGACACAGTTTCCTATATGCTCCTCATTGTTGTTCTCTACCTCCTTAACACCAGTAAGCACGGGACCGAGGCTGTGGCTTCGCCACACTGGGCACACCAAACCATTGTCCTGCTTTTATTACCTTTGAGACCTGTGGCATCTTGTCACCGAATCAGCACTTTCATTTTCTCAGCTTCCATTTGTTTTTATGAGATAAGGCACATGCAGGAACATACTCAAACAGCCGTGTAAACACTTCGCACAGAGATGGTGACAGTGCCACAACTCAACCGCTGAATGGTGGACCAAGCACCCCGCTGGGCTTCAGTTGATGGGGGAAACCCGGATTCACCGCGGTGAAGGTGGTTTTGACTTTTATACCGTCAAGTGCCTGCATAAAAGTCTGGCTGTCTGAAAGCTAAATGCACAGAAGTCAAGGACTGCCCAGATTTACCCCAGCGCCAGCCTTTGCATGCCAGGCTTTCCTAAGCATCCTAGTCAGTTCATTATTGCCCAACAGCAAACCGCCACTAACTCAGTGGCTTAAACCAGTGATATCCATCTCAGTGGCGTCTTTTACTGCTCAGTGTCTAGGCCCAGCAGGATGGTTCTCTGCGTGCAGGTCTTCAGTGCCCTGGGTCATATTACTGGTTGAAAACGAAAGGAAACACACCCTACCAACTTTCCCCTGGGCAGGCGTCCTACACAACTAAGGTTTCACCAGCCTGTGGCTGCAGGTTTCCTTAAACTTCCACCTGGCCCTGAGGCTTTGAACAGCCCTACACAGTCTCCAAGATTCCATCTCACGCTAAGCCTGGTGGTTTTTCATATTAGCAAATGTTTACCACTTCGAGAGGGCCTGAGGGCCTAAGAGATTTCTGGACAAAATTCTTGAGCCACAGGCCAAGACTTGAATTGTGGTTGGGGCTTGGGAAGTGAGGCAGAGAGGACAGGCGGGGGCAGAAGGCCCTAGATAAGGAAAAAGATTCCCAGGGTGCATGCCTGGGGCGCTATGAGCTGGCATTTTCCGACCTGTATTATAGGAAGTGAATTCTTACACTTATCCCCAGCTTTCTGCATGGCCAAGGACCCCCAAACACCCAGATGCCAAAAGCAGTTGAGGCTCCTGCAAAGAACCCCAGGAAGATGAAAGCCCTCCCTGAATGTGACGTTCAGTCCAGAGGTTTCTACAAGTTCCTTTATTCATAAAGCAAAATATAAAAGAACAAGGTCCCCAAATGACCCATGTGATTAAAAGTGCAAATTTACTCCAACCTGAAATAGAAAACGCATAGCAGGCCTTGACTGGGCCATGGCAATCTGGTGTGACTCAAATGCCTTGTAATCACACACTTGTAGCAGCTGAACCATATATGATTAACTCTTTGGTCTCTGTCATTGGAACAAAACTCATGCTAGGGCTGCAGCCACCAGACTGCATCCTAATACACAGTTTGGGGTCAAAAGACACATTAAAAATAACAATATAATAGGAGGAATGTTTTAAGTCAGGCAATTGAATTAAGGCACTTTTTTTGCAGAAGTTGCTGAAAATATTCCTGAATATTGGACTTCAAAAACCAGGTTACAGTATATATAATTTAGCTGCATATTTTAGTCTCGTCTCTCTGTGGACATGATCGTAGGTTCACTTTCAACCACCTTATTTATACGTGCTTTATCGCCAACTAATCGGGTGCTAAGTAGGCATGAAAAAATAAACAGCTGTGTCTAAGTAACAGACAAGCGATTAAAAAAAAAAAAAACTAACAAACACCACGATGATAACACCGAACTTGTTTCCCTCTTGAGGGACTCTGGAAATGTCAACGAGGTTCATTTTCTCCACCCCTGGAGAGGGAGGTAACCATGTTCCTTCATGTGAGTAGGTCAAAAGCCACATGTGACAGAAAAAAGTGACTTCCTCCAGGAGGTTAAATGAGATGCTTTGGAAGCACTTTAGGTTAATTCCTTCATAGAGACAGGATGTCAATTTTGGTGGGAGCCTCCAAGTCAGAAAAGGATAGAGACGTTCAGGAACGAAGTCCGATCCGAACGGTGTTTCTGACAGTGGGAATGGCACAAGCCCAAGAAGCCTGCCCCCATTCAGAACCCCAGCCCTGTTTCTGGCATTCACAGCCCCCAATCATCGTTGTAAAGGCACGGGCTAGGATACCACTCCTGAAAAAAGTAATTTTAATATAAGAATAAATTACAAAGAAACGAGTTATTTGGCAATCCTTCCAGATTACTCATCTGCAAACTCCGACAGAGCCAAGAAATTTACCCCGAATCACCCGGAAGGCAATGCCAAGAACTGGCCCCAAGGGGCTAGATGCAGGATCTGACTCAAAAAGAAGGGCTCCAGGATCTAGGGCCCTTCTGGGAATTGTGAGTTAGGTGTTATCTGTGGCCGAGTTAAATTTTTTTTTTTTTTTTGGTTTGTTTCTACAATAAAACTTAGCTCTGAGAAAGAAAGATGAGGTGAAATACCACATTCCCAACTATACATTTCACCACAATATCCTTAACAAAAAATAGAACCTTATACATACGTGGGGTTGCAAACTGCATAAGGCAGGGGTCGCAAACGGGCCCAGGCTTGACCACATGGTGTTTTTAGACATCTTAAACTTATTTAAAATTCAGCAAGTTTCACTTTTCAAAAAAAAAAAAAAATCCTGATTTCCAGCCTCTCCCCACCCCCATTTTTCTGCATGGAGCTGATGTAACAGCTGCCCCTTTTAAGGTGGGCACAGTTCCCTCCTCCCCCCTCTTCCCCCATTTGCCTCCCCTGTGTTGCAGCCTGCTGAGTTTGCGACCCCTGGCTGGAAATAGCACACACCTACATAGGCGTCTCCAAACCTAACCCAAACCTCTTGCACCCTCATGGGATTTCCACCTCGTTTCCCCTCTCCCCTCCCTTTCACTTCCATCTTAAGTCCTCCTTCCTGAAATCTTCTGATTTCTTTCAGTTCACGGGTCACTCGAATTCTCCCTTCTTTCAGCTTCAGTTTCAATTTGCAAAAAACATCTCTCGGCCCACGAGCATTCCAGGAAGGCTCCCAAGACTGGCCAGTGGGCGTTACTGAAGGGTGTCTCGCCACACGACGGCTGAATCACTTTCCCCAAAAACATTTCCTTCGGGCACTGGCCAGGCAACCGGCGTGGCTGCTGTGTCCGCTTGTATGAGAATATGTGCACGCATGAGTCTCCAGTACCAGGCATACACCAAAAGTGTGCACATTTCCCATGAGAGGACACGACGGAGCCCAAATAAAATGCAGAACTGAGCTTCAGTCAAGTGCCCTGGGCAACCATCACCCCTGGCTGATGCGCCATATTATTTCCTATGTACACAGTACAGGTTTTGGTTTACTAAACATTGATCAAAATTGATCGAAATCTCCAAGTTTTGGTTACCATGTACAGAGAACAATTGCTCAGCATGGCATTTAAATAAAACATCAATATTTTTAAAAATTCACAAATACAATGCCCCATTAATTTAAAAAAATAAAATTTAAAAACCTTGAGGATGGAAGAGGCTTTGGGTAATTAACCTAAAAAAACAAACGAACAAACAAACAAGAAAACTACAAGAACAGTATGTTACCAGACTTATACTTCAAAATACTATTTTTTAAAAAAGGAAACCATTGACTCAGCTAGAAATATTTGGAAAACTCAGCTTTAAAGCTTTATAATCCTTCCAATAGCCTCACTGTCCCCCACTCCTATGAGTACAGGGGAAATTGTGGCTAAGTATGGAAAAAAATATATATGTATACATAAAAAATCTATTCTTGGCATTTATTTTAAAAACTAATTTAAAAAAATAGTGTGCAGTTTCTACGCGGGAAGTTGCTGGACTGATCCGTTAGCTCAGCGCAGTACCTTATGACCTAACACTGACCTCTAAAGCTAGGAATGACCTTTGTGGGGAACCGTCATCCCCAAGATGACCTCAAAGAAACAGCACATTTGCAGCTGTTTCTCTTTCAGGCCAAGGTTGCAAAGGATACATATAAGAAGCCTATGCAGCTCTGATGAGAAGAATTCCCTGTAAATCATTTATTCACAATGATTTCCCACAGTGACCCAATGAGTCCCCCCAAAGAAAGGTTTATAGCGATCCCTCAAGGCAGCTCAGAAATTAAACAATGGTCCTATTCACATAGCTATTTCTGTCTTCCAAGTTATACTATTATGAGTCTAAGGAAGTACACGTCTTTGTTTTGTTTTTTTGTTTTTTAAAAATTCCAGTAACACTGGGACTGGCTGCATTTCCAATCAGGCAAGCAGATCATGGACCATTCTGAACTGCAGTTGAGGGCCGTTAGAAATTTGGGAGGACAGGAATGATTCCAGAATGGACTCCTGCCACTACAAAATATACCCAACTCAATGATATTTATGCAAAGAGAAAAAAGAGCAGACTGCCAGCAGGGACTGCCCCCTCTGCCCACTGACCAGAGTGACTATCTTCAAGCACAAAGCCCAAGACACTGAACTGTAAGTGAAATGTTTCTTAAGACCTGTGCTGAGTCAACAGCTCAAAGTTAGCCTCATGGGACCACAGAAGGCCCCCTGGGCAAGGAGAAGAACCTTCCAAACACAAATCATCCCTAGCATTGACTGAGAGCAGCTAACTACAGGCTAGGCACTGCAGCAGGCATTTCCTTTCCATTATCAGCTCATTATGCTCAGAAAGAAACCTCTTTGCAAAGGAGTTTGCTAAAAAGCCTTACAACAAAAAAGGTTTCTGCTTCTAGCCCGGCAGGAAGCCCTGGAGAAACACCTTTATAGGCAAAGCCTAAAACACATCTTTCTCCAGACCCAACATGTTTTACGCCCTGACCCAGTGCTGTCTTGAGCATGTGTTTCATGGCTACTTTGCACTGTGCCTGGCTCACACACAGTAGGCGCTCAATGAACTGGTGTTGACTGACTGGTATACAGCCTAGCTTCTGCCTGCAGGGATGTTAAGCAAGCATGCTGGCTGTTTCTCAAGGCTGCACATTTCTTAATAATAAATGTAACTGGCTTCCCTTTCAGATGCAACATTTGGTGCTAGCAATTACCACAAAAGGAGAGAATGGATCAAAATAAAGTGCTATTTGCTCTGGGAGTGTCTCTAGCCGACTCTTGATTGCCTCTTGACGCGTGTGACTTAATTTTTGACAATCCTGTCAAACACCTGTGATTGCACCATTTGAAAAATACATTAATATTAATTTGAATAGTCGAAATGATGTTCCTGAGAACATTAACCCCTAGAATAGAACTTTAATTCCAATTGTGGATAAAGGATAACAATTCAGGTTTTGTTTTTTTTAAGACAACCTGGAACCAAGTACCTTGCAAGTAGTTACGTCAAAAACATTCATTTTAAAAAAGTTTTTGGGCAGAGAGATCTGTGCCTAAAAACTGAGAGAAGGAACTTTCCCTGTGGCTAGTTTTCGCTTCCTCCACTGGACTTGCCTAAAAGCTAGATCCTTCTACAGAATCATTCCACACAAACCAACATTTGGACCAACTCTTAGAGGCTGCGGTTGCATAGCTTGCCCAGAGCCTTTCCACAGTTTTCCATAGCTTGCCCACGACACACGAGTGGGTGTGAAGAAGATGCAATAAGTATACAGGATTGTCAGATGGGGGTGACATTTAAGCTACCAAAGCTTGTGGCATCTTCCAAATTTTCTAATGCCTTCTGCAACCTTGCACTTAACTGGCTTCATTGCCATGCCCACCCCCACTCGGTGGGAGAGGATTTAGGAGCATTTGGCCAGGTGGGGGTGCTGCAGGGTTTATGGTTCCCCTTCAGGGAACCCCTGGGTGCGCTGACTCCGGGGTGGAGGGCACCTGGCAAGGTAGCGGGGACCCCCATAGGCCCGGAGAAGCTGGGGTAGCCTCCGCCACGTGGACAGCAACCGCGCTGCTGCCAGTTGCCGGGAGTGCCCGTCGAAAGCGGCCAGGAGGTCCACTGGGGTGGCTTCACGCAGCACCTTGGGCAGGGGGCCCACCTCAGCGACAGCCCCACCAGGGCCCAGGACGCAGTGGAAGAGCGTATGACGTCGCAACAGGCAGTCCCTGAGGAACTGCACCAACTCCTCCAAGCACTCGCCTAGGTGTGCCTCATCCCAGCCCTGTGCAGCGGACCCCTTGCGCAGCAGCACCGCCAGCAGCACTGTCTTGAGCACGTATGAGGACAGGATGCGTCCCCACTGGGTGGCAGCCGCTGGATCCAGCCCACGGGCGCCCAGGTCTCGCAGAGCCTTAAGCAACTGCAAGCACTTGAGGTAGCAGGCACCCGGAGGCGCCCGTTCCTGCAGCCAGCTGAGTAGCTTCTGCTCCTGGCGCGCTGTGTTCACACCCCACAGTGCCTCTGTGCGCAGGCCCTCCGGGAACTCCGACAGGGGCCCAATGGGCAAGGGCTGCGGTGCTGGTGCCACGAGGAAGACCCCGTCTCCCAGATGGACGGCAGGGATGAGACGCACCGCCATGGAAAGGCGGCAGCAGCCGTAGTCCGTGCGGCAGGGCAGGATGTGTAGAGTGGGGGGCTGCTCGAGGCCGCCTGGGGTCAGGCTGACCCGACAGCGCCCCTCCAGGCTGTAGCGCACGGTGGCCAGGGAGCGCTGCAGGTGCGACTGGAACCAGCGCAGCACCAGAGTGGCAGAGAGGTGGCGCCGCCCGCGCACATCCACGCAGAAGCCATCAGCGAAGGGTTTGCACTCCCTAAGCCAGTGGCCCCCTGAGGCCCCCGACGGCGATGGCGAGGGTGGCGCCTTGAGGGCGCAAACGAAGCAGCCGCTGAACGCGGGGGCCAGCGCTGGCTCGGTGCCCAGGCTCCGCGGCTCCAGCGCCACCAGTGGCGGAAGGCGCAGCGGCACCAGCACGTCAAAGCCGTCGGGCCGGCGGATTTTATGCTGCTCATAGGCGCTGCCCACCTGGATGAAGTCTCCGCGGAAGGCCAAGGCCAGTGCTCCCCCTGGGATGGGGCCTGGGGACCCCCGGGCGCGGCCAGCCCGCACCAGCTCGCCCACGATCCGGCTCACGTGCGCCTTGCTGTGGCCCAGCACGTGCGGGGACAGGCGCACCTCGTGCTCGTAGTAACTCTCCAGCAAGATGCTGAGGCCCGGCTCTTGCAAGGGTCGTGGGGCGCAGGCGGAGTGGCCCCCCAGACGGGGAGACGTGGGCAGAAAGCGCTGCCGGACGGCGTGGCGACAGCGCAGGAGGACGTAGCCGAGGAGGAGCAGGGCAGCCGCTTTGAGCAGCGGGAAGCCGCCGTCCGCGCCGTCGGGGGCCTCGGCCCGGGCGCCCCCGCTCCCGCGCAGGACGTGGTAGAGGCACACGAGGGCGGTGCACAGGCCGGTCACCAGGGGCCAGAAGACGCGCAGGTTGAGCGTGTAGTGCACCGACATGCCGGGCGCCCGGGCCCGCGGCGGCCGAGCAGCGCAGGGCGCGAGCCCCGGCGGCGCCCCCGGCCCGGCATGCGCGCTGTGCGCGGGCGGCGCCGCTGTCCCCGGCTCCTTCGCCTCGGCCGCGGCGCCCCCCTCGCAGGGCCGGGGGCAGCCGCCCTCCAGCTCGGCCTCCTCTCCCAGCTCAAGCGTTCCTTCCAGCTGCGGCCCGCCCTGCACTCCCGGGCCCCGGGCCGCGCCCTGCGCCGCCGGCCGCTGCGCCCGCCGTGGCCGCCCTCGGCCAGCCCTGGCCCGGCCCGGCCCGGCCCGCCGCCTACCCCGGCGCCCTGCCGGCGCTCCTGCCGCCCCTCCGCGCCAGTTCCCGTTACTCGGACCCGGAGCTTCCTCTTCCGAGGGGAGGCGAGGCCGCGCCAGCCAAGCGGGAGGAAATGCCGAAGTCGGAGCCGAGCGCGCGGGCGGGGGCGGCCCCCTCCCCGGCCTCCGCCTTAAAGCGACGCGGGGCGGCGGGAGGGACTTCGGGACGCGCTGGGGACCGGCCTCCCGCGGGCCTCCCCCATCCTCCCTCCGCGAAGGCAGAACGGGGACAGCGCGATCCCGGGCCGTGGCCCTGCCCAGGGAGCCCCTGGCTGTGCTCCCGCGGAGTTACTCCGGGAAGTTGGGGAGGAGAGGAGCGCGCACGCCGGCCCGCCGGCCCTCCCCGCCCCCACAAGCCTTGGTGGCGTGGCAGGCCCTGGGACGGAAGTGGCCCCTGCGGCCGGCTGCTGTCCTTTCTTCAGACGACATTCACTGGGCACCTACTGTGTGCCAGGCAGGCGACACGGTGCTGGGGAAAGTCGCAGTTGATAAGGCGCAGTGTCTGCCCTTCGTGAAGCTCACGGCCTTGTATTAATAATAATTTTTAAAAAGGAATTAAAAAAAAAAGGATCCCAAAAAAACAGGAAAAATAAAAGAGAGAGAGAGAGAGAGAAGGATCCCTGAGGGAGAAAATGCTCTGAAAGAAACAGAACCGTAGGAGGGAGTGACAAGGCGGTGGCTGACCCGGGGAAGCCGGAGGATCACTGAGGGGTGACATTTGGTCCGAGACCTGCATGAGGAGGAGCCTGCCTTGGGAATAAAAATGCGATTAATCCTTGATTTACAGAGGACCTGACTGTGCCAGCGGTGTTTTAATCACCTTGTACACCTTCACTCCTCACAGTAATTCTGTAAAATGGATACTATTATTTTCCCAGTGAAGGAAACTGAGGCACAGGCAAGGGTACAGGCTGCCCGCCCAAGGTCACACGGCCTTTGCAGGGCTGTGCCTTGAACCCAGGCACCTGACTCCAAGGAAGCCAGAGGGCAGGACCCCCCGGGACCAGGGAATGTCCCTTCCTCATCTGCTGGGAATTTTTGTGGGCCGTTTGTCAGGGGCTACGCCAGAACCTCAGTCCTGGGAAGCATGTTTTGTTTCATAACAGGGAGCACTCCCTGAAATCATCTGGATTTATTTAAATAATTGTCTTCATTCGTTCACACTCGTTTTATTTTCCTTGCTCCCACTGCTGTTCAAGAAGAGCAAGGGTGAATGCCTTAAAAATGTTAGAACCCAGCTGCTACCTGGGAACTACGTCCTAAAAGATGGCTATTGGGTTACTCCCAAGAGAGCCTGTCTTGGGCCTTCGAGAGCTTAACTGACCTGCTTTCAGATCCCATGTCTGTTCCTATTAGCTATGGGACCATAGTCTATTAGTCAAGATTCTACAGGTTGCAAGTGACCGAAACACAGCTCAGATTGGCTTGCAAAAAATTTATCATGTTAACTGAGAAATCCATGCGGGACCTATTTCAGGTATAGCTGGATCTGGGTGCTGCAATGCTATTTGGACCTTTTCTCCCTCCACTACTTAGCTCTGCTTTCTCCCAAGTGGGCTGTACTCTGGCAGGTCTGCTCTAATCTCACATTATCCTCAGTGCAGAGGAAAAGAGGGACTTACTTTCCTGAAAGTTGCAGCAAATGCCATCCATGCCTTGGGATAGTTTTGGGTCATGAGCTAAAAGTGACTAAGCAAGAAAATGCATTGATTAGCATTCTCTAGGTGTGTCTCCCCACCCCTTCAAGTGCACATGTTGAACTCCTAACCCCCAATGTGACTGTATTTGGAGATGGGATTGGTGGCCCTACAAGAGGAAGAGAGAGGTAGGTCTCTTTCTCCATGTGCTTGCACCAAAGACAGGTGGCCATGTGAGGACACAGAAAGAAGGTGGCCCTCTGCAAGCCAGGAAGAAAGCCCTCTCCAGAAGCCAAATTCTACCAGACCTTGACTTTGGACTTTCTAGCCTCCAGAACTAAGAGAAAATAAATTTCTATTCTTTAAGCCACCCCGTCTGTGGTATTTGTTAAGGCAGCCTGAGCTAACACAGTTCGGTAGCCAATCCTGGAACCAAGAGGTGGGGTCAGCCCTGCTGAAACCGTGGGAATTATGGGGAGGGGTGTCCCCCAAGGAAAGTCATGGTGCTGTGGTTGGAAGAAGAGGAATGAGATATTTTGGCATGCAGAAATGACAGGTGGCCACCTCTCTTGGGTAAGTCTCTTAACCTCTTTTTGTTTCAATCTCCTCATCTATAAAGTGAGGTGCCACTAACAGGATGGTTAATTTTTTCCCTGGTAGATACAGTGGCGTGCTGTCTCCAACTATACCAATAAAGGTGACACTCTAGATCAGAGGTCGGCAAACACTTTTTGTAAAGAGCCAGAGTGTAAGTATTTTAGGCTTGGGGTGGAGCATAAAATCTCTACTATAACTACTCCTGTCTGCTGTGACAGCCCCAAAGCAGCTGTCTTAGATTCCTGGGGCTGGTATAACAAAGTACCACAATCTCGGTGGCTTAAAATGACAGAAATTTACTCTTTTATAGTCCTAGAGGCTAGATATCCCAAACCAGATTGTTGGCAGGGCCATATTCCCTTGGCTCTTCCAGGCTTCTGGTGGCTGCTGGCAGTCCCTGACACTCCTTGGCTTGTGGCAGCGTCACTTCAGTCTCTGCCCGTCTTTATGTGGCCTTCTCTTCTGGGTCTCGGTCTTGTCCTTTTCTGTTTCTTATAAGGACATAGAAGTTGGATTTAGAACCCATTGGGGTAATCCCAACGATCTCATCTGGCGATGCCTAAGCTAAGGATTCTTAACTTAAAGGTCCTTAATTATGTCTGCAAAGACCCTTTTTTCAAATGGATTAGGACATAGTCATATCTTTGGGGACATATTTCACCCTGCTACACTGAGTAAATGACATGTCACTGTTACTGTTTTTCCTGCCTGTAATTGGTCTCCATAGCTCATTTCCTCCAAAGAGCCAAGGTACAGGCCTCAGAATTTTGTACTTAGAAAATCTACTATATGTGCCAGAGCAAATACAAACAAAATTCATTTATGCATTCATTTATTACTCACATTTGTGGGTTCTTACCAGGTACCAGGCCCAGGGGAATCTGAAGGAAAACACAGGGCTCTGAGCTTACAGAATAAAATGGTACTTACATGGGGTGTGGGCCGGTTAAGAAAACTGTCACTGTTTCATAAACTTTTGACACTTATTTCATGAAAAATCTCCTTTAATGTTTGACATAGGCCACTCCTGTGTTTTTTTTTAACAGCTCAGCTATTAAATACACCTCCCCTCCCAGTGTTTCTGATATCCTGGAGGTGTGTCCCATGGAGGAAGAATGGAAACACGAATGAAAAGAAAAGAGAAAGAAGTGACTCATTTTCCACAGGGGGAGCAGGGATGGCTCAAGAGGAGGTGACATGTGATCAGGCTCTGAAGGACAGGAAATGACAGTCCCTTTGATATCACATGCCTCCTAGATGTGGCCTTTCCCATGTGGTATCTCCTGGAATGCTCCAGACAAGCCCAATGATGCAGGTGCTATTTTATTGCCATTTTGCATATAAGACAAGTGAGGCTGACAGAGGTTAAATATTAACAACTTATTAGCAGTCACACAGCTGGCAAGTCTGACTCCAGAGCTGGGCTCTTAATCCCTGTGCACCACTCTCTTTTACGTTGTAAAGGGTTTTATAGGACAGAAAGGGAATATTCTGGAAAGGCAGGTTAATTTATGTTTGTGTCTATCTCCCTAACCAGGTGACAAGGATCTTGAAGTTAGAGACTTTGCCATATTCACCTTAGCATTCTCAGTAGCATCCCCTGTGTCATGCCTGGAACTTTATAGAGATTTATTGAATGAATGAATGAGTGAGTGAATTAATGAATGAATAGGATTTTAACCAGCAGAAATTCAGAGAGACCCTATTCCAGGTATTGGAAACAAAATGTGCGTATGCTTGTGATCAAGGAGCATGTGACCATTTAGGTGCAGGGGTCCTCAAATTACAGCCCGCAGCCCACATGCGGCCTGCTGAGAACATTTATCCGGCTGGCCAGGCCAGGCCAGGTGTTTTTGCTGCTGCTGCCTGTCCTGCTTAGCAGCTGATTTGTCCTGGGCCCACAGTGCGCATGTGTGGAATGTGCGCTGCATTCTCCAACGGCCCTCCAACAGTCTGAGGGACAGTGAACTGGCCCCCTGTTTAAAATGTTTGAGGATGCCTGATTTAGGGGAACAGGACATCTGTCTCATTGTTGCAGAAGTCTAGAATTTTCAAATGGACACTGTGGCTCCCTTCTGTGGCCATTCATTCCAGCCTTCCTCCAGGGAAACACATTCCCACATTCCTGACCCCCGCTTTGCTAGGGTGGCTGGCGGTTCTGAAACCCACGGCTGGGCGGGAGCCCGGATTCTGCAGGCAGCTCCCTGGCGGGGGCAGCTGCATGACTTAGGAGTTCTCTCTGGAAGTTCTGCTCAGAGTCCTTTCCTGAAGCCTTCCCTGTGATTCTCTAACTATTTGTGATAAGTGATCTTTTGCTGTGTTTTTTTTCTTCTTTCAATTTCCCGTTGGATCTATTATACTGTGCGAGACTGTTACACAGCTCACGCCACGTGCCACTCACAACACCCACGCTAGCCTGTCCCCTGCATAGACAGACCAGCCCATCAACCACGCCCTCGTGGATGTCATAGCAGCGTCAAGTTG